GAGTCAGCTCGTCCTATTTCAAGATAAACGTAAAATCAAACAGGTGTTGAACAGACAAGGATATTTTCCTTTCTGCTGATCACACTCCGGCCTTCACGTTATGATGAGTTCTGCATCAGACAAGCCCAAGATCTCTCCAATAAAAATTCGGAACACGGTGGTAACTGGATGCTAGTTTTGAGATATGGCAGTTGTGCACACTGCGTCTACTCCGACATTTGCTATTCTCTACAAATTACAATTAGTTGCAATTTTGCAAAGATTATCTGTGACGAAAGCTCACCAGAGTGAGTCCCTCTTCGAAATGATCTTCAGACATTGCCGTGATAAACATAGGATCAGGTATCTGCCCCATGTCTATGTCGAGACCTCTGTCTGATGAAAGAAGATCTGAAAGGGCGTTTTCTCGAGCCCTATTTTATTATATCCTGATTACCACAGTAGACTGGTGCAATTATATGATGATAATTACGTGTACCAAGTCTTCTGAGATATGGTGCTAATGAGCAGTTGAATGGCAGTCCTCTGACTTGCGGTTGGAACGGTAACCGGTAGCAAAAATCATGGAAAGCTCCACCGATGTTGCATCGACACCGTGGCGTAGGCAACTTAGACGTGAGAAAGATCTAAATATAATTTTACACTGAGTAAGCACTTTTTTCTGAATATGAGAAATGAAAGGAGAATCGGAATGAGGAAACATCTGATATATACTCTCGACTGGAATAGTAAATGTTTGTGAACCTCACATACGTGTTGTAAAATCTACATGTGTACAGTGTTTTGACAGCCCCATAGGAGAAGAAATTTATGACTCGCCGTCGGCAAATGGAAAGATCCTAGGTAAAGCGTAAGCAGACAAGCGGGAATCGTGCAGATCCAAAAAAGTAATCGCATTCTTCTCGTTCGTTGTTTCCCCATTATCAAACTGGACCTGAATCTGCAAGCGACATACGTTATGGCAAACAATTGTAGGATGCATTAGGGAAAAGAGTTTCCGCCGTGGAAAATCAAGATGGGATTTCACTGAATCGCAAGAAGAGTGTAATCCAAAGCACAATATGAAATAAGGCAGCTATAAGCGTGTCTTTGTTGCTAAGGCCAACCAACTAAAAGCCTCCGTCGATGATAGTAATAACAATCTCAAATGTAAGATCACACTCTCTTAGATTGTCATTCAAAAAATTAAACTGTATGCTATAATAAAAGAGGTGTTTTGAAATTTAGTGAACCTTGAGCTTTTTTTCCACAAATAGCGAATGGAACTGATCAAATGTTTTTGCCTTATATTCTGATTGTAATGTTGTGGTCAACCGAGGTAGCGAATAAGACGAGGAGCATCTGGTTCTGTGCTAACCTCGTCGATTCTGCCGTTCCTTCTGCCTTTACCTGCGCCTTAAAAACCTCGTCCATGCATGCAAGACGAGCTTGAGATCGGCGTTAAACAACGCACTCCCTGTAGGCTTGAAGTTGCACAATACAACGCATGGGGAATCCAAAGTTCCGAACTGCAGTAGCCTTCGAAAGTCCTCGATGAATTTTTTTTGACGGTAAAGTTCTATTTTGCATGGCAAGATTAGCTCATATTTCACATATTTCGAGAAAAGCCTTCCCCACTGGACCGAAGCATTCCTAACGCGAACTGCGGCTGGCAGCACACTCCAGTTGAGTACTAGGAAGCTCAAACGATTGCTACCGAAGCTTTATTGACGATAACAGTAAATATTCCGATGAAATAGATCACGATGTACCCAATGACGACGAATGCACTCGAAGACCGTGAGACGAAACTAGGAAGCTGTCGAGTAAGCACAAACGTTTTGAGAGCAAAAGCCTCCATCATAGGCGGCTCGCTTGCATCCCTCGCACTGGAATCTCATGAATCTTGCTGACTTCTACATGAAAGAAAGCAATTTGCAATATCTTTCAATCTAAATAATAACCAAACTTTACACTAAACGTAGACATTACATTTGGTCGACGATTGTCGATACTCCGCCCCCAGCTTACCGGGTGACGTCATTCCCTGGCCGTTCTTTCTTCCACGCTCTTCAGCCGCCTATAGTTCTCGTTGTGTTTCATTCACGCGTGCGATCGCAACGAATTTCTTATCAGAAACATTGCACACGGCACGATGGTGGGGGGGGGGGGGGGGGTTGGTGGAGCTTATATTCACACGAAAATCTTTGAAAACGTGCAAACTTAATCGATGGCAATAAAACTCCGCGTACGGTGTTTAATGAAGTGACTTTTCCGGTCGTGAAGTAAGCACACCATTACCGCCGATCACGGACGAAAAGATAGGATCGGAAAAACCAACTCCGCCCCATGCGACAAGAGGCACGGTCTTTTGTGAGATCTACATGCGACTGATCCCGTCGGTTTGGAATGGGAAGTGGTTTAGGTGAATACGCATCTGTAATAACTTTCCACTACTTCCTTTATGCTGCTGTGAATGCTAGGAGCCGAAAACTCGACGTTACGATTGATTCTCTTACGGCGATTCCTTTCTTGGTAGACCACAATTACTCTTCGTCCTCTTTACTCGTTTCACCTCGCTGATTTTGTTCCAGTCGTAGTTGTCTAGACTGTTCGACCTTTCTTCATCGTTCAATTCCCCTATACAATCTTCTTCATTTTTCGAGCTCCTGGTCATTATCCTCTTGCTTTTGAACCGAGTGCCGACTTCGCTCCGGTAGTTTCTTGAAGAATCATCATCTGAGATTGTGGTTATCCACTTTCCTTTTGAGCAATCTATTCCGTACGATTTAGATAACTACTCTTTCAGCATGCATTCTTTCTTACGACTCGCCTGCAATGAATCGCTAAAACGATTCTTCTCTTCCATTCCTCTCTTTGTTTTTCTTTCGCTTATGACGCTCCATCATGGTCTTCATCTCGGTGCTCATTTTCCAGAATGTCACGCTGGGGTTATCAAATCCCGAATAGCTTCTGGTCCAAAAGCGTAGTGTTTGCGTGCGATGAAGTCTTGTCTTCCGAAACTCGATGCTTCACCCCACTCCGTAATATACTCGTAGAGAAAATCCATGATCAGGTAACGGGTTCCCATGCGAAGGATCTTTTCCTTCGTCACCTCCGCCTCACGCAAGCAGTGGGTTGTGAACGAAAACTGCTCTCCTGCTGAGGCGTAGATAAAGGCATCCTCGTTCTTGTGATGGTTCCATTGAGTGACCAAGTACTTGCAATTTTCTTCTGCCGTTGTAGAGAAATCGCTGCCATTTCGAGTTCCATTTGGATTTGCTGTTGGTCCAAAACTCGTGTTGTCGCCAGATCGATGACCAGTTTGATGTCGCCGTCCCCTTCCCTACTCGCCATCCTGAAAATGGTGGATATCCCTGTTATAAATTTCTTGTTGAGTCTGATTTTAGAACTGAAGAACTCGTATTTCCGGATCTATCGTTGAGGTTTCTTAGGTTTTCGTTTTCAAAGTCAATGTTCTTTGTGGATGCATCGCACCAAAGCTCCTACGATAGCGAAAAGCATGCGAAAAACACGCGAAAAAACTGCCAGTAGAGTCGAAAAAACTGGCGCATCATGAACACAATGCAGCGTGCCCCACATGTGGAAATGAATAGATAAGTGAGGCCAACGGCAATTAAAGCAGTAGTCATTGCCAGTATTAAAGGATTTGTACCAGTGCATAAACACGTCTCCGATGTGACCAAAATCGGGCCATTCCATTTCCCCCGCGGTATTACTCGTTCCTTGACCCAGTAGTTTGCCCTGAGCTGTGTGTGTGAACATTAGAATGCTACTAAGCTCGAAATTTTGTTATCTCCGAACCACACGAAACCGAACACGTCATATGCACTCTAGCCTGGGAAAAACTGAATAGCAGGGAAGATTGTTGCCCTCTTTCGTTACACTTGATAGTGAAACTCGTTTGGTCACAAATGATTTCCGCAAGCGTTGGTTTAGATGACCTACATGTCACTTGTGCTACAGCTCCCTTCGAACACTTATAACAACCAATCAATAACGCGTTATCGACTCGACATTTCGTGTCTTCGATCGAGAGCTCAGTTTCAAGGTCTTCATCAACTGTTAGTATGATCTCTGATGTCGTCATAGTCGGGATGCGGGCTTCTACGTTCCCCACTCGATTCCTAAAGAATGTCAGAGGAAGGTGTCTTAATGGTAGTCTGTTCTGCAAGTTTTGAAACCAGCTTGAGATGTTGACTTCCTTACAACTACACATCATTTTCGTTTCTGCTGAATTGCATACGCAGTCTCCATTACCTCGCACTAGAGAATTCTTGCCGATTCCGGGGTTTTACATTGGAGTGGGGGCACCAGGTGCGAATCCCACAGCGCTGTATCTGTCCCATCCGTGATAAATGGAGCATAGGGATGGAAGAGGGGGTGCCATTATCGAACTCAAACTAAAAAGTATGACATCCATTTTAGCGAAACGTTGGGCCGTAGCAGAGCCACGTCTGTTTTGGTTGTTTGTGTTAGCACGTTCGCATGTTTACTGTGAGTTTTGTCGCCTCGTTCCATCTTGTGCATCTAAGATCTCGAAAATTTGGGGTGTATTGGGGAATATATTGGCCATGCTGAACTCCGCCTCCAGTGGGCGGGGCGTGCGTCGAAAAAAAAAATTTGGTGAAAAATTGCAGTTTTTGGCTTCAGAACAGTCTAAAGACAGGGAAAAAATAAGGCCTTAATAGGGTACTTACCGCTCTACAACGGGAATATATTGGCCATGCTAAACTCCACCCCAAGTGGGCGGGGCGTGCGTCAAAAATCGAAATTTCGTTGAAAAATTGCAGTTTTTGGCTTCGGAACAGTCTAAAGACAGGGAAAAAATAAGGCCTTAATAGGGTACTTACCGCTCTACAACGGGAATATATTGGCCATGCTAAACTCCGCCCCCTGTGGGCGGGGCGTGCGTCAAAAATCGAAATTTCGTTGAAAAATTGCAGTTTTTGGCTTCGGAACAGTCTAAAGACAGGGAAAAAATAAGGCCTTAATAGGGTACTTACCGCTCTACAACGGGAATATATTGGCCATGCTAAACTCCACCCCAAGTGGGCGGGGCGTGCGTCAAAAATCGAAATTTCGTTGAAAAATTGCAGTTTTTGGCTTCGGAACAGTCTAAAGACAGGGAAAAAATAAGGCC